GTTATAAACTTACATTTCAAGTTTCAACAAAATTGGATAAAAATTGTGACCTCTATAGGGTCCACAACCTTGATATACCGTATTTTTAAGCCAGTTGAGAACGAACGGCGGCCATTGTGTCTGTCAATTTTGGGCCAATTTTCACGAAATTCGAACTCGGTCATCCTTAGGGTGTAACGGTGATATAATAATACGTTTTTTTACATCGGATAACAATTATGACCTCTATAGGGTCCACAAGCTAAATATGCAATTTTTCGTACAATCAGGGGCCATAATTCAGGAAGTTACTGTCCGATATGCACGAATATCGATAGGAGCCGAGATCTTTGGGTTATAAACTTATATTTCAAGTTTCAACAAAATCGGATAAACATTGTGACCTCTATAGGGTCCACAAGCTAAAAACGGGATTTTTCGTACAAACATGAAGTTTCGATCCGATACATGCCAATATCGAAAGCAGTCGAGATCTTTTGGAGATGTGGAGATAAATCGGATAAGAATTGTGACCTGTAGAGTGTCCACAAACAATTGTGGATGGACGGACATGGGCGACACCAATATACGTCCACATGAAAATGTGGGCGTATAAAAATTGTGACCTCTATAGGGTCCACAAGCTAAAAACGTGATTTTCCGTACTAACCGGGGCCATAATCCATGAAGTTTCGATCCGATACATGCCAATATCGATAGCAGCCGAGATCTTTTGGAGATAAACCTACATTTCAAGTTTCGTCAATATCGATTAAGAATTGTGACCTGTAGAGTGTCCACAAACAATTGTGGACGGACGGACAGGGGCGACGACAATATACGTCCACATGAAAATGTTTGCGTATAAAAATTGTGACCTCTATAGGATCCACAAGCTAAAAACGTGATTTTTCGTACAAACATCGGCCATAATCCATGAAGTTTCGATCTGATATATGGCAATATCGAAAGCAGCCGAGATCTTTCAAGTTTCGTCAAAATCAGATAAGAATTGTGACCTGTAGAGTGTCCACAAACAAATTGTGGACGGACAAGGGCGACGACAATATACGTCCACATGAAAATGTGGGCGTATAAAATCTCTGGACGGGAAAGTCGTGAAAAGCTAAATATCACATACAGTTTGAAAAGAATCTGTTAGCAACTACAGCCTTTATTGCATTCACAAGACAATTGTGAAAGTCTCGGAATGTCGAATATTGATAAAGTTCATCCTCTCATGATCATGATGCTTCACACCCAGTTTGAAAAGAATCTGTTAAAAAAACTGTTGCCTTCACAATCACAAACTAATTTTGACAAACAAACAGTCAGAGCAACGATATAATACCCCAAAATTGAAAATAAGGTATATACTTAATTACACCAATATTACATGTGTGATAGAATTCGTTAAACACATTACAAATATAATTTTAACACATATCTTTGCTATGATTGATCTATCACAAAAATTTGCAGAATTTGTAAGGGATTCAAAAGTTTACTGTTTACTGGCTGATACAACTCAGTTTAAGCCAAAGAGCTGTTATATAGTACTGTGAAAAAGAGTGGTAGCTTATGCAAGGGAAACCATAGATATATTAATTCAATCAAACTCAAAGTCATGAAAGATAATTCTATTATTAGACTACACAAGCAGTTGCCATGCAAGATACGCCCACATTTTGCGAGAGATGGATAGAGAACAAGCTAAATAAAACATTTTTTGTACAATCAGGGGCCATAATCCAGTAAGTAATGGTCTAAAATGTGCAAATATCAAAAGGAACTGAGATCTTTGGGATACAAAGATATATTTTAAGTTTCTTGTGACCTCTAGATGGGCCACAACCTTCATATTACTTACTATTACATTATTTGTGTACAAGGAGCAGCCATTTTATCGTGCAGTTTCGTTTTGATCTTCCTGAAATTCGAAATCAACCTTTATTACGATGCAACGGTGATATATTTAAATGGTTTCTAAAATCGGATAAAAACCTAGAAGGTCCACAAGCTCTAAATGGACGGGCGTATAAAAACTGGATAAGTATTTGGGGAGGGGGGGGGGCGGATATTAAGCACTGATATTGTACAACAGGCAGTTGCCAAGCAAGATATGGACAGAGAATAAGCTCAAAAAAAAAAAGAAGCGATTTTTCGTACAATCAAGGGCCATAATTCAGGAAGTTATGATCCGATAAACGTGTATTTCAAGTTTCATCGAAATCGGATCAAAATTGTGTCCTCTAGAAGGTCCACAACCTTGATATACTATTTGCGTCCGAGGGGCAGTCATTTTGTCCGGCAGTTTTTGGCCGATTTGTACGAAATTCGGACTCAACCATCATAAGGGTCTAACAGTGATATATTCAAACGTTTTTTTAAATCAGATAAAAATTGTGACCTCTAGAGGGATCACAAACTAAAAACGCGACTTTTCAAAAAAATCAAGGGCCAAAATTCAGGAAGTTATGATCCGATATGCGCGAATATTGAAAGGAACCAAGATCTTTAGGTTATAAATATGTATTTCAAAATCGAATCAATATTGTGACCTCTAGAGGGTCCACAACCTTGATATACCATATATTTACACTATTTGCGTGCAAGAGGCGGCCATTTTGTCTGGCAGTTTTCGTCCAATTTGCACGAAATTCGAACTTAACCATCATTAGTGTGTAACGGTGATATATTCAAATGTTTTTTTTAAATCGTATAAAAATTGTGACCACTAGAGGGACCACAATTCAGGAAGTTATGATCCGATATGCGTGAATATCAAAAGGAACCAAGATCTTTGGGTTATAAACACGCATTTCATTTCAAGTTTCATCAAAATCAGATGAAAATTGTGACCTCTAGAGTGTCCACAAGCTAAAAACATGATTTTTCGTACAATCAGGGACCATAATCCATGAAGTTACAGTCCGATACATGCCAATATCAATAGGAACCGAGATCCTTTGGAGATAAACCTATATTTCAAGTTTCATCAAAATTGGATAAGAATTGTGACCCGTAGATTGTCCACAAACAAATTTTGGTCGGACAGACAGACGGACGGACAGGGGCAAGGACAATATACGTCCGCATGAAAATGTGGGCGTATAAAAACATGGGAATCAATATATCAGTTGGTCTTAAAAAGAGTGCCACATCACAGTTTAACTTGGCCTTGATGCGTTTTAAATTGATGGCCTCAAGAACTTTCCTGGTTTTCTTCAGGTGGTGATTTATGACAAGGGTTCTTTTTTGATCCCATAATTGTATTTGATTGTTATTTTTGTTGCATATTCTGTATATATTTGTCTACTATTCACATATCTGTATCATTTGCTTTATAAAGACGAGAGTATCCTCGCTGAAATGTTGCTTAGTATTAAACTCGGTAACTGTGTATCCATAAAATTGTACCTTGTGTTAATATACTATTCAAAAAAAGTAGGGGATATTTGATTTTTAAGTGTTATTAAAGTCACCTAATGAAACTGACGAAGAAACAAATGACAAAATGAAATGAAGTTCACATTCATCGATTTATTCCAAATGATCGTTAGACTAAGTAAGGCACAGACTGACCATTATTAGGGTAAAATGATACCCGGGGTCAAACAGCAAAGTTACCACAGCATCACAACCAAGTCAGTAACGGGTAAATCCTCCTCTGTTTGCCAAACAAGCATTGATCCGACGTGGCATACTCCTAATGAGACGTCTAAGGTCATTTTGGTCCAGATTGTCCCATTCCTGTTGCAACGCAGCAGCAAGTTCTTGGACATTGGCAGGACGTTGTTGACGTTGACGTAACCTCTGTCCAAGCATGTCCCAGACATGCTTGATGGGGGAGAGGTCGGGACTCAGTGCTGGCCAAGGTAATGTGGTGATGTTCTGTTGTTGGAGGTAACCTGTAACGATCCTGGCCCTGTGACATCTTGCGTTGTCATCCTGGAAGATGAAACGGCGGCCATGACGTCGTGCGAACGGCACAACATGGACTGCCAAGATGTTGTCCCGGTAGTACTGGCCTGTAACACGCCCTGCAACAACATGTAAAGCCGTTCTTCCAGCAACAGTGATGCCTCCCCACACCATAACAGAACCACCCCCAAATCGATCATGCCTGATGACGTTAACGTCTTGGAAGCGCTCGTTTCGACGACGCCACACCCTCCTACGTCTGTCCAAAAAATCAACAGTGAACCTTGACTCATCTGAAAACAACACATTGCTCCAGCGTCGATTATCCCAGTGTTGACGATCCCTACACCAACGACGTCTTGCCTGAATGTGATGATCTCTCAAACAAGGGATCACGCGAGGACGTCGGGCGCGAAGGTGACCTCTATGCAGTCGATTCCGAATCGTCTGGCCACTCACTCTCACACCAGTGTCTGTTTGAAGACGAGCGCTGATCTGATTTGCTGTGATGACACGATTTCTCAAGGCCAAGGTACGGATAAATCGATCCTGGGCTTGAGTTGTCGCCCTTGGTCGACCTGAGCGTGGTCTGTCCTGTACAGATTGTGTATCACGGTATCTGGACCATAGCCTGCTTATGACAGACTGAGAAACATTCATCGTCCGCGCCACAACCGCCTGTGTTGTGCCGATCTGTAGCATGCCAAGCGCACGTAACCTTTCATTTTGGGTAAGCCGACGCATATCAAAATTTGTTTCTGGTCACTAAAACAATTAAACTGATGTTTCCACCCTGGAATTCAATGCCACAATGACTGTAACATTCAAAGTCAGAGTCGTGCAAATCTTGGGTTGGACCCCCATGATGATCCCAAGCATCACCTGCATTCCATGCGCTAGCTATTGGTGCGTTTGGGCGTCACATGTAACTGGAAATGTTTCTTCTGTTAGGTTCTATAGTGACTTTTTTTCGTAGTCATTTGCATATTTTAGTATTATGCCCCCAAAAATCAAATATCCCCTACTTTTTTTGAATAGTAATACTATTAGTATATGTTCAATTACTAAATGCCTATCAAAGAAGCTTTTATACAAACTTGGGGGGAACTCCAGTTTAGTTTGGGAAAAACCTTTCCTCCCAGTTTTTCAATATTTTCTTTGATCTCTTTTTCAAATTCTGGAAAAGCAGGTACCTGAAATATTATTAAAATAGCGGTAAATATATATCTAATGGTTTCAAATTAAACATGTCAAACACATTTTTAAACCATATTAGAGACATCATTTATATGTACTATTCAAAAAAAAGTAGGGGATATTTACTAATATATGCAAATGACTACGAAAAAAGTCACTATAGAACCTAACAGAAGAAACATTTCCAGTTACATGTGACGCCCAAACGCACCAATAGCTACCACATGGAATGCAGGTGATGCTTGGGATCATCATGGGGGTCCAACCCAAGATTTGCACGACTCTGACTTTGAATGTTACAGTCATTGTGGCATTGAATTCCAGGGTGGAAACATCAGTTTAATTGTTTTAGTGACCAGAAAACAAATTTTGATGTGCGTCGGCTTACCCAAAATGAAAGGTTACGTGCCCTTGGCATGCTACAGATCGGCACAACACAGGCGGTTGTGGCGCGGACGATGAATGTTTCTCAGTCTGTCATAAGCAGGCTATGGTCCAGATACCGTGATACACAATCTGTACAGGACAGACCACACTCAGGTCGACCAAGGGCGACAACTCAAGCCCAGGATCGATTTATCCGTACCTTGGCCTTGAGAAATCGTGTCATCACAGCAAATCAGATCAGCGCTCGTCTTCAAACAGACACTGGTGTGAGAGTGAGTGGCCAGACGATTCGGAATCGACTGCATAGGGGTCACCTTCGCGCCCGACGTCCTCGCGTGATCCCTTGTTTGAGAGATCATCACATTCAGGCAAGACGTCGTTGGTGTAGGGATCGTCAACACTGGGATAATCGACGCTGGAGCAATGTGATGATTTCAGATGAGTCAAGGTTCACTGTTGATTTTTTGGACAGACGTAGGAGGGTCTGGCGTCGTCGAAACGAGCGCTTCCAAGACGTTAACGTCATCAGACATGATCGATTTGGGGGTGGTTCTGTTATGGTGTGGGGAGGCATCACTGTTGCTGGAAGAACGGCTTTACATGTTGTTGCAGGGCGTGTTACAGGCCAGTACTACCGGGACAACATCTTGGCAGTCCATGTTGTGCCGTTCGCACGACGTCATGGCCGCCGTTTCATCTTCCAGGATGACAACGCAAGATGTCACAGGGCCAGGATCGTTACAGGTTACCTCCAACAACAGAACATCACCACATTACCTTGGCCAGCACTGAGTCCCGACCTCTCCCCCATCGAGCATGTCTGGGACATGCTTGGACAGAGGTTACGTCAACGTCAACAACGTCCTGCCAATGTCCAAGAACTTGCTGCTGCGTTGCAACAGGAATGGGACAATCTGGACCAAAATGACCTTAGACGTCTCATTAGGAGTATGCCACGTCGGATCAATGCTTGTTTGGCAAACAGAGGAGGATTTACCCGTTACTGGCTTGGTTGTGATGCTGTGGTAACTTTGCTGTTTGACCCCGGGTATCATTTTACGCTTATAATGGTCAGTCTGTGCCTTACTTAGTCTAACGATCATTTGGAATAAATCGATGAATGTGAACTTCATTTCATTTTGTCATTTGTTTCTTCGTCAGTTTCATTAGGTGACTTTAATAACACTTAAAAATCAAATATCCCCTACTTTTTTTGAATAGTATATATTCATAAGGTCCTACAAAATAAATATTCAGGTTCTCAGACAATCCTTAAAAATCTGATTCAGCGAGGCAGGTTTTTGTGTTTTTATTTTGTTAAATTATTACTACTGGGCTAAATGACTTCTCAAGAAGACACTCATTTATTTCATCATGTTGTTTATTGTATGATTATGCAGTATCATTTATGATTGTCAGTAACATTTATCAGGGTTGTGTACTTAATAATTGAGCCTACTGTACACTTCCATCTTCATTAGAATTTTTTTTATTGTTACTTGGGGAAAACCTGGGAAAACAGTTACGTGCAGTAATTAATATGAATGTTTTTAATTTTTATTTTTTGAAGTTAATGCGCAAATATATATGCACAAATATAGAAAGGAACCGAGATCTTTGGGATATAAATATATATTTTAAGTTTGATCAAAACAGGATAAAAATTGTGACCTCTGGACTCTGGAGGGTCAACAACCTTGGTAATTTTGTCAGGGAGTCTCGGTTCAATTTTCACGAAATTCGCACTCAACCGTCATTAAGGTGTAACAGTGATATATTTGAAAAAACTGTGACCTCATGAAAGTCCAGAAGCTAAAAATGTGATTTTGCATACAATCAGCGGCCAAAATCCAGGAAGTTACGGTCCAATATCACTGAGAATTGCTAAAGGGTGAATCTGTGCACAGCCACCATAGAATTCTCAGTCATGGTTGTTATTTGTACGTGTATCGAAAGAAAACTAATTTTCTGACTATTACTCGGTATTACCGCGTTAAAACTGTAAATAAGGTATGTTAATTAACAAGGGTGAAAAACTGTCTGAGAGGTGAGTTAATTAACGCTAAGGGTGAAAAACTCTGCGACAGTGCGTTTTCAGTAGAGGTGTGTTAATTAACTGACTGGTAAAAAATGAATGTCAATGTTGTGTATTGTTTAATTGGCGTGTTTTCTCGCTAGTTGCGATAACTGCATCAAAAGGAGTATAATCAAGGACCAACAGGCCTTATCTGACACGTACGTGTTAAATCAAGATTTGGGAAGTAAAACTGTTTTACCGTGCGATTTATCATTCGACCGTGTGTTTTACGCATGTCTTTGTATAATTAAAGACAGGTCTTTAGACAGGCGTGTGTGCTCGCTATGATCTATGTTTCTCTTATGTGTCTTTTGTATTGCGTACCATATATATAAAGTTGAATTTAATTAAATAAAAATACGTAAATTGTGCATCTTACCTTCAATAGCAATATCCATAAAACTGAAATCTCCATATTGATAAATAATATGGCACAACCAACCGAACAGTGTTAATTTCCACACAAATGATATATTTAAACTAAAATTACTTTAGCTTTTCACTAAATTTACATCAAATACAATCCAACGATCCTCATTCCAGAACTTGTAATTTATAATAGCCACTTTTATGCAATTACAGAATTGTCCCGTGATCTAACATATCAAAGAAGCACATACGCCCGATATGACACGTAATCATTTTTTGAGACTTTGTAGATTGGACTTCCTTGTTGTGTTTTCTTCGTGATGCTAATACATAAAACTACAGGTTAAATGATTTCTTCAACTTTATTATTAAGCTGGATTGGCTTCAAAGGTCCCTCGTTCTTATTTAAATGATAGCTGCTCGGAATGCCTGGGTGAGCTCTGATCAGTCTCACTCGATCAACACCCTCTTTTATAACCCCTTAATTTCTGCACGTCCTGGACTGACCTTGACTTTAATTTCAATCCAAAATATGGAATAAACCTCCCCATTTCCCAAGACCAGGGGGGAGAACATTACCTTATTTGGTCTACCAACCATATGTCATAAACAGATAGAATTTGATGGATATTTTGACAATGGTTAGGATTTTAACAAAATATCACTGTTTTTTTTACATATAAACATGTCGTCCGCTTTTATTAGTACGTGGGATTTGACTATAGAAAGAGTTAACCAACAATTTTTCAAAGACCCAATATTGTCTTAAGGACCAAAGTCTTACAACTTGTCTTCTATTCTTTCGACTATACCTGGCGTTTATACTGCGTACCATATAGTCAAGCTACTTACAGATAAAGTTGCATTTAATAAAATAAAAATATTGACCTTAATCTATCGCACGAAATGCAACGTCGTCATTTATAAATATCGAACTTGTAGACCCCAATTTGAATATCCCCGGGTATATTGAGAATAAGTCAAATTTGTCGTATGTAAATATACATGTACTGTCTTCTTATTCTTACGACTGGCACCTGAAATAACCCAGCCACATCAGAAAGCAATATCAGGTTTATTTTATAATTATTTTAGACATTGTTTCATTTGATTAAACGCGCAATTTCACATATTGACCTTTGATTGATGGTATGCATTGAAGGCCGAGCCGTTGGCGCCGAAATGAAAAATAAAAATCAGCATGGTATTGTATCTGTCCCGTGGATTCAGCAAAGATTTTAAAATTCCATAAACTTATAATTACTGAACGATGGATCTGCTCCCGATAGAACTAGACGATATAAATTACTTGGGATATGATGTGAACATTTAAATAGTTCATCAATAACACCGTCCACATTTCCAATCGTTTTTTAAAATACAATATTAGAGCACTAGTATCCTGTATATACAGTCAAACTGGGGGAAAGTATTGCCATCTTTTTGTTATGGTTGATTGATCAGAATGTTTGAAAACGTTGACCTCTAGGTGTTGCTTAACAAATGCAGTGTTTTGATACTTGATAAAGTAATAAACTAATTAACAAGCTATAGCTACACGCAATTATTTATTTCAACCAAAATGTGTATTAGAAGTTGCTGTCTGAATTGCGGTTGTTAATTTTGTTTATAGATTTAATAATTGACTGTTTTCGCTAACTTAAAATATCGTGCAAACTGAAAAATAAGGTAATTTATGGTTAAAACTTTTTATGGCATGTAAATATAATACATACAAACGTGTATAGTTAAATTGTACTGCAACCACTAAAAAACTATCTCTTGATACAAGCGTATCTGTTTTATGGAATAATCTACCATTTAGTTTAAGATGTTGTACATATCTATATTCTTTTAAAAAAAAAATATTTAAAACACAGTTATTTAAACAGGCTTTTAACCGACGCTACATGTCCATAATATTGATTTTTTTACGATTAAATTGTCACTTTGTAAAGTGTCCCTAAGTAAGTTACATATAATAATATATAGTAACAAAATTTCGATTTATAGTATTAATATTACGTTGTTCCCTTTATTTGCAAAACAACTCTCCGATGATAATAATAAATTTGAATTACTTCTCCGTACCAGTTGGAAACGTAATTGTCTAAGGTCTAAATGAAATGTGAAGTTTAATAAAATATAAAATTACAATGCTGT